AAGATCCCTGGGGCAGTCAGATCTGGGTGTGAATTCAGCTCTACCACTTAACTAGTTGTGTGACCTTAAGCAAGTAACTCATCCTCTCTGTGCCACGGTTTCTTAACCCCTAAAATGGGAACAACAATAGTACCCATCTAGCAGGGTCATTATGACAACTGAATGAAGGACTTCCAGGAAAGCTGGTAAACTGAAGAGCTTAATAAGTGGCAGCTGTGATGATGATGATGTTGACGATGACAATGGAAGGCAAAGGAAGAAGAGAATGAAAAGCAAGAAGAGGAACAGGAAGAGGAGGAAGAGAGGCAGGAACAGGAACAGGAAGAGGAGAATGACAGTGATGGTAATTATGAGACACAGCAACCAAGAGGTCACAAATGACAGTGATGGAGGTTAGGTTAGGATGCAGTAACGTGGGGTGAGCATGAGGTCTTCCTGGTGCTCACAGGGAGAAGGAACTACGTCTGCTGTCGACGGCTGCAAAGGAAACGGGATCCTAGGAGAGCTGGTCTTGGGCATGGCGAGGAGACTGCGCAGTGGGGACCACGACGGCTGGCTCAGAGGCAGGAGGCCTGCACTGAGTCTCCCCAGAGGTGAGCTGCCGGGCTCCTTCTGGGCAGAGTCCATCCAAAGGCTCTGCATCCCTCTCAGGCCTGAACAGAGTATAGGTTTAGGTGCAGATGGACATTCAATTCCCATCTCGGGCCTGGTCCAATAAGGCCTCATATTTGGGGACCCTGTGGCCCTGTTTTCCCTGGGGACTTCCCAGCTATTAGCCCACCTGCTGCTTTTCACTGGGAGCCTCCTTGTCTCTCCCTCCTCTAGGCCTGGCCTCTGACACCTGCTTCTGGGTCACCTCCTAGGCCAAGTCCTACAGCCTAGACAGAAAAATGGTTCACTCCCCAGTGCAAGTGGGCTTTTCTAAAATCAGCACCACCACCAATAAAAAAATAACAAATAACATTAATAATTGCCATAGACTGAGAACTTAAGTTCTTTGTGCTAGGTGCTTCTCCATTTCTTCTAACTTGTTAGAATGATGCTGAAAAATGCATAGTACTACTCATCTACTGTACAGATGAGACTCATGCTAAGGGGGCGAGGTAATTTGCATGAGATAACCCCGCCAATAATGATAGAGTCTGAATTTAAACTCAAGTCTGTGTAACTCCAAGGCCTAGGCCATTTTCCCCTCTTAAACTGTGTTGTCACTCCCCAATTCAGGGACCCGGTCCCCTTGTGCATGAATGTGGGGCCCTGGCTGGCCTCTTAGATTCCGCCCTTCCTCCCTCCCTCCCCAGGGACTTACTAAACTGTAGCTAGAAGGTCAAGATTGCCCAAAGGCCAACGGCTCCCTCGCTGACCCTTCTGTTCTCCCCTTTCCCTGCTGGGCGGGAGCCACACCCAACCAACCCAGCCAGCCTTGGCCTGCTTGCTGAATCTGTGTCCTGTCCGAGGCTGCTCAGCAATGAGGCCAGCCTTCCAGGTTCGGAAGTGAGGAGGAGGCGGCAAGAGGATGAGATGTCTCCATCCTTCATCCAGCACCAAGAGGAGAATGCACAGGCCGCAGCGTCTGAGACATTAGGCAGCACACCCTGACACATCACCTTCATGTGCCATGCTCTGTCCACACAGAAGGCAGCGTGGTCTCTCGGCCTCTGCACATGCTTGTAACACTGTCCCCCTGACTCACTCCAGCTCAGGAATGATTCCTCCAGGAGGCCTTCTCTTGTCCCCAGGGCTGCTTTAGGCCTCTCCCCACCGTAGCACCTACCACGCTGCACTCAAGTTTTGGAACCGTCTCTCCTGCTAGACTGTGAGCTACTTCAGGTCAGGAGCAGCGCTTCACGCCTCTTTGTATTCCCAGGGGCCAGCACAGCGCCTGCACAGAGGAATCTCACTAACGCCTGGTACACGAGCAAGTGCAGGGCACTGCTGCAGAGGCCCCTCTCAGAGGACTCGCATGTAAGCTGGAGGCTGCTGCCTCCTCCTACCAAGGTCTTACATACAGCTGGACCCCACGGCCCTGGCTCCACTCTCCCTCCCAACCTCAGTGTTCCTCCCGCCCATCCACTGGTGCTCTTCTGAGCTGCCCTGAGCGCAGCCTGCTGGGTGCTCCTACCTCTACTTGCTGGCTTGGTTAAGGCTCTTGGGATCTGGGAGATAAAGGGCGTTTTTGTAACTTGTTTGGAGTTATCGGTGCTACTGTCCAGTGAATTGGAACCAAATGGCCACAAACGGTGAAGAGGAGAGGTCTCAGGTGGAGGAAGAAAGTATGGCCAGCCCTGGCACAGGTTGTTTGGTTTTCCTTTCCTACATATCCCACCTTCCCATGTCCCATCAGGACTCTTGGCTACTAGAAAGTTACACGCTGTGACTGCTCACACAGCAAGCGGCAGGCAGCAGCCGTGACTTCGGCCTAATACCAGCCCTGCCCAGCCAGGGCTTGGCTCCAGAACACAGAGTTGCCTCCTGCCAGAATTCTGCAGGTGAGGCTCCAGACAGGTGTAGGTAGCTCTCCAGCAGCCCCGAGGCTGCACGGTTAGAAACACCATGGCAGGAGCAGGACAAGCCTGTGGCAGGACCTGGAGAAGCAGCCTCTCTCACTTACCTGGGTCTCAGACGCCAGAGGAGGGAAAGAGAGCATGGGAGAGGTGCTGCGAGTGCATTAGCCTTGGGCACTAGAGAAGAGGCCCTGAGACAGCCACAGGGCCTGGGCCGGTCCCCTCTGGGGGAGGTGAGGCCAAGGGCATCACTGGCATCCCTCTGGCAGCTCACTCTACAGGCTTTTGACTTTGACTTTGGAGCCAGGGAAGGCCTACAGCACTTCAAAGGACTCCTCTCTCCCCTTGCCCCCACCCACGCTGGGAAGGAGTCCTCACCAACACAAGGCTGGCCCTGGATCCCCGTACAGGGCCAGGATGCACACAAACATCAGCAAGGTGAGTGTGTGCCTGTGCACACCCCACACTTCCTCATCCCACTCTCTGGTACCTCAGATCTGCCTGCTGCCAAGGCCAGGCCAGGCAGAGACTCTTCAGTTGTCCTGGGAAAAGTGAGGCCCTGCTGTCTGCTTCCTGAGTGGCCTGAGTATAGTGAGTCCTCTGACTCTAGTTGGCTTCTTTCCTTTTCTTCTTTCTTTCCTTACTCCCTTGGATAAATAGTAAGAGCCTTAAATTAACTGACCGTGGTGTTCTTCGAAAGAACATGGGATAACACCCACCTGGCTGGCTCTGACCCACCCCCCTGGCCTGGCCTTATTTGGACTGCCTGGCTTTTCCCAGTGTGCCCAGTGGGAAGCAAGAGCTGGTGTTTGGGCCAGTTCCAGATCATTTATGGGGACTGGGCGCTGAAGAGTAAAAACCAATGGGATCAGGCCCTGCCGCTGGGAGCTCCTGCTCTGAGGGAGGCTTTGACAGGTGTCCATGGGCAGAGCGAAGGATGTGTCAGGAGGAGGTGGGCAGATGGGCAGAAGGCCATAGTCAGCAAGCAGCCCCCAAGCTTGCTGGGGTTCACCAAGGCAGACCCAATTTCCTCCCATTTCTCCCTTAAGAGTGCCTATCTGTGACCCTAATTCTATTGCCCTCAAGGCAAAGAGAAGGGATCTGAGGACGCTAGTGTCTCAGACCCCAGGGTTCTGAAAACAGCAGGGTGTTCCCCCAGCCCCATTCGCTGCCTAGTTTGCATGGGCAGTGGGCCTGCTTGAAGCTGGGGCTGGCTGGAGCCAAACGCTCACTTTGTTGCCTGGCCTTTTCCTTCTCTTTCGGGAGCAGGACTGGACCCAGTGGAGCCCAGCTGCCTCATTCACCTGGTTCTGAGACGGGCTCCCCTTCCCCACTGTCCCACCTACCTGAATTTATGGACCTGACTTCTGTCTTCTCTCTTGCTTGCTACCTACTTGACACTGCCTGCACTTGGCCTTGCTTGGTAAAGAGCTGTGGAGTTAAACCAAATTGCACTGAGACCCCCACAGTAACCTGTTCCAGCCCCCAACTCCTCCCTCAATCTCCAGAAAGAACCAGCTCCTTACTGTAGGCAGAGGGCCGTCTGTCATCCTCCTCCTCTGGTAAGAGGCTTGGGTATGGGAAGATGAATGGCCTGAGCTCGGCAGTACCCTTCCCCTGGGGTTGCTCGTGACAGCTGGTTGAGGAGAGGGGTGGGGATGGACCTGGATAAGTTGGCGGGTGTCCCTGTAGGCCCAGAACTGGAAATAGGTCTCAGGAGGGGATTCAGTGGGTGGTCTACTAAAAAGCAGTCTCACTCCACTCTGCCACGTAAGCTCCCTAAAGAGATGGACCCAGACCCTTGACTGCCTAGAACAGTAAGTAGAGAATCTGATCATTCCTAAAGGGTAGAAGAACCAGACTCAATGGCAGGTTGGGGACCCAGCTACAGGTCAGTGGTAAAAATACAAAGTGGCGAGAGGCCAGGACTTATGAATTTGGGAGCTGGCATGCTCAAGTTGAGCAATTTGCTGCTCCTGCAGAATGGTGGGTTCCAGGGCCCCAGTAAGGCCTTCCTACCCCAGCTGAGAAAGAGGCCAGGACCCATAAGACCAGAGTCAGAGAGACCTCACAGGGGATAAGAGGGGGTCAGAGAGGCAGCTACAAGGTCAGGGCTGGAGAGTTTGAAGATCAGGAGTGACACTGAGCCTGGCCTTACAGACAGCTTCCCTTCCCTGGGGATCTAAGGACAGTGAAGGGCCCCTGGCCCAGGGAAGGGTTGTTGGGTCTGGTAAGAAGGCTGAGAAAGGACCTGCACCTGGGTACCCGGAGGCAGGTGGAAGACATCAGGCATATTAGCTCCAGGAGACTGGCCAGTGACCCTGGCATCTCCTGGCCTCTCTGCCCCTTGCTTTGTTTGGTATCTTTCAGCTTTGGGTCATTAATGCTTCTTTTGAAGGTTCCTACTTCTTCTTTGCTGGTTTAAGGGGGAGAGACTGGCTGGGAGTTGGAGAAGGCCAGAGCAGGAAGGGAAGGAGTTGGTGCCGGGGAGCTCACCACTCTCTCCTTGTAGACGATGTACTTCAACCACTTGAAGTCCTGCCACTTGAAGCCAGCGAGGACAAAGAGAGAGTCTCGCTCGTATTGCTCAGGCCGCTGCATGGCGCCCTCGGGGTAGGTGATGCGCAGTGTTGTTTTGCTGCCCACGTCTTTCTCAAAGCCTTTCACTGGTGCTGAGTTCAGTCTGCAGAGAGCATGCCCCGTCAGAGCCTGCCTGGGGCCGGGGTTTTGGGAGGCACCAAGACCCCAGAATACCCCAGGTGTAGAGAATGGGGAGCCTAGGTCACCTGGTGCCACCTAGTTGTCCCAAAGCCCTCCAACCCAGGGTTCTTGAGGCTTCTGTTTACCTCCAGCCCAGCTGGCCAGATGGACAGACAGTCCTCAACGGGCTCAGGATCAGGGTTTGGGCCAGGACACTCTGGTGCCCAAGGTTCTGTTTTGGGGAGCTCACCTGACCACAATGTCATAGTCATCAATCCGTGACCCCAGAGACTTGTTGGCGAGGACACCTCCATTGCCCACGATGATGCAGCGGCGGCAGCGGAGGCTGAAGGGAGAGAGACGGAGACTCTGTTGGGGGCTGCCTGCCGGTCTCCTCCCCTGCCCCTTTGGCCCCTGACGCCATGCCCTTGGCCAGGACCAGGCTGGGAGACAGGAAGAAGACCCATGGGCTTCTGGTAGCATTTCTGAGAGGAAGCCAGAGCCACACTGTGGGTAGCTGGGCCCTGGGACTCTCTGGCATCCCTAGTCCCTGATATTTCCCCAGGAAAACAGGGGTGTGGGAAGGCTTGGGTCCCAGCCCTGAGTGGTGAGGAGGGGGCTCTGGTAAGGCAGCATTTCTAGGGTGAAGGTTCCCCAAGGGTCAGTGGGGTTTAGGCAGTGGTCTGAGCTTGAGGCTAAGCCAGGAAAGCAAGAACAAGGGAACAGGAATGGAGGCTCCAGGACTCAAAGCTTGGCTTATTCTCAACTCAGAAGCCCCAGGCTCTCAGCAGCCACCAGGGAGCCTACGCACTTTGCTTTTCCTGGCCCAACCTCCTGGATATAGCCCTGCCCCCATCACCTGCCCCCACCACCCAGACCTAAGTCCCATTGCTGGGCTGATCTCAGGCCCAGTGTCTTCCCTCAAAGCTCTGATGTCTGAGCACTGGGATGTCCTGCCAAATGCTGACAGCCCACAGGGATGCAAGTCCAGTGGGGTGGTCCCACTTATCTGCTCCGCCCACCCCAGATGTGCACTGTATGTGCCTGTGTGGACATATTGGAAAACCTGCCCGTATCAGGGAATGGCCAGGTGGCCTTGAACTTCTGCATATGTCAGGCAACCAGGGGCAGGAGGCTAGGCAGTGAGTGGCTCACCTGTCCAAGGCAGGGGTCAGGTGGTACTCTTTGGTGACTGACAAGATGGCTTTGATCAGATTGTCTGTGGACAGAGGAGGGAGTTCCTGTTAGAGGGTCACTTAAGTTTCCATAAAAATGTTTGCTGATAATCCTACTTGAAGGCACAAGTTCTTGGGGCTAGAGTGAAGGTGGAAGTGGGGAGAGGGAGCTCTGGACACAAGGTCAGGCTGGGCCACTGCCCTAATTTTCTCCCTAAAAAAGGAGATGAAGGCAGGAAAACAGGCAGGCATATCTCTGCCGGGAGCCAGGCCCTCATGCTGGGATGCACGTTCTTTCCCAGGGCTGCTTCACCTTCCCTGGGAGACCCATCTGGTTTTCTGAGGCTCTGTAGTCAGGCCCCAGGACATGCACCCCCAGGCCACAGCCTTGGCTGGAAGCTGAAGCGTATGTCTTCCCCGAAACAGGAGTACCTGATCAGAGCTAGAGGCCTTGTGCTTACCTGTGTCCTCACCAAGCAGACACCAGGAAACAAATGAGGAGACAACCAATGCCTGAACAGCTCACCCTGGCAGACCACCTGTCTCATTTTCTGATACTGCCTTCCCCTCACTTCCCCCTTTTACATCGCTAATTTCTAATGCTGCTCTTGCCAGCATCTGCCCACCTGCACTGCACTCAGGCTGCTCTCAGCAAGGACGCCCGTGACCTCTGTGCTCTCAGATCTTGTGCCCTATTCAGATCTCATCTTCTTGGCCTCTCTCTGCTTTGGCAATAATGACTGTTCTCCTTTCAAACTCTGGCATAATGAGAGCATTATATTATACTATATAATGTTTAATAGGGGAATTGGCTTTGGAGTCAAATCCTGTGACCTTATATAAATCACTTTCTTTGAGCTTTAGTTTCCTCATCTCTAAAACAAAGATGGTAATTCCTACTTTGTAGAATTGTTAGGAAGATAAAAGATAATGAACATAAATACCTAATGATAAAGTAAATTGGTACCACCACAATGGAGAACATCTTAATAATATCAAATAATAATGTAGATGTGCATACACTAAGAGCCTACAACTATACTCTTAGGGGTATGGCATTGAAAAACTCACACAGTTGTTCAAGCAGACTTGTACAAGAATGTTCACTGCAGAATTGTTTGTAATGGCAAAACGTTGGAGGCAACCTAAATGTCTACCAAAGGAAAACAGATAAAATGTGGTTCACAGAATACTATACAGCAGTTAAAAAAAAGTCAGTGACCTAGACAGAGCTATATGTACCAATACAGATAAATCTCAAAATCATAAGCAAAAAAAAAAAAAAATCAGCTACACACACACATATGTACATACAATGACAATATTTATAAAATTTAAGAACATGAAAAAGCAACACCATATTTTTAAGGGATATATAAATATGTAGTAAAAACATATAAACAAGGCAGAGGAGTGCTAACAGCAAAACCAGGATAAGGGCCTCCTGGGGAAGGAGGATGGAGTGGGAAGGGCTACACATAGGCTTTAATCGTATCTCCTGTTTTATTTCTTAAGCTGAGTGGAAGGTACATGAGTGCTAATTATATTATTCTTTATACTTTTTTGTATGCCTGAAATATTTCATGTAAAGAAAGGATGCCTTCAAAATTAAAAACAAACACAATTTTTAAAAGGAGGGGCAGAGACACTGTCCAATGCGGCTGAGAGGTCAAGTTAGGGACTGAGAAGTATCCTTTGGACTTCATGGGGTCACTGACAGTGTCACTGGATCGGGGCTGGGGAGTTGAGATGTTCTATAGGGGTAAATGGTGAGAAGGATGAGGCAGTAGGCACAGCTAACCTTTCCAGAAGCTGGCTGACAATGGGGAAGGAAACAAACCTTTAAGTGCCTTCAGATACACCTTATGGTGGGCTTCAGGGATGGCTACAGATTCCCTCCTTTTCCCACCTCCAATTTCACCTCTAAGGAAAAGCATATTGCTACTAATTGACCAAGGTCAAGGACATGAATTGGGCTTTGTTTTCCAGGAGGAGAACCTCAGCAGAAAGGGCACATGCTACTAGGTGCTCTCCTCCTGCTGGTTGATGGGCTCCACATTGGACTTTCCTGGCCCTGGTAGCTGAATGATCAGAGTCTCCAGAGGGGATCAGAGAAAAGAGTGGGCTGCTTGGCTACCTGCGCCCAGGGAAAAGGAGTTCTTCACGTGGTTCAATCCAACCCATTAGATTTGTCCTTGGAAGTTTGAGGTCAAAGCTCCGTTTCACAGTGTTTTGCTGGCCACAACCTTCTTTACAGGGAGGGGTGGGCAGGCTGAGCAGAGGAGTCAGGTATTCTTGAGTCTCCTGGCCAAATAACATCACCCCTTTAACAGTTATTTTATTTAATTCTGACTACAACCTTACACAATAGTATTATTCTCATCTTTTTTTTTTTTTTTTGAGACAGAGTCTTACTCTGTTGCCTGGGCTGGAGTGCAGTGGCATCATCATAGCTCACTACAATCTTTAACTCCTGGGCTCAAGTGATCCTCCTGCCTCAGCCTCCCAAGTAGCTGGCACTATAGGTGTGCACTACCACGCCGGCTATTTTTTTCTATTTTTAGTAGAGATAGGGTCTTGCTCTTGCTCAGGCTGGTCTCAAATCCTGACCTCAAGCGATCCTCCCACCTTGGCCTCCCAGAGTGCTAGGATTACAGGTGTGACCCATGGCGCCTGGCCTCTCTCCATTTAACTGATGAAGAAACTAAACCACAGGTAAGTGAAATAAGGTCACAGCTAGTAAAGAGGCAGTATGGGAATCTGATCCCTCTATGTCTGACTCTAAAGCCCAAATTCTTTTCTCATCTCTAAAACAAAGACAGTAATTCCTACTTTGCAGAATTGTTAGGAAGATAAAAGATAATGAACATAAATACCTAATGATAAAGTAAATTGGTACCACCACAATGGAGAACATCTTAATAATATCAAATAATAATGCAGATATGCACACACTAAGAGCCTACTCCTAGGGGTATGGCATTGCCATAAAATAGTGCAGGAACTTGACAATGAGGCAGAACTGTTAAACTATTAGAGATGGCAAAGTCTTCAGTGAGAAGGGAGCTGTGTGGGTGGATCCCTAAGGCATTGGAACGGGAGAGTTTCAGAGAGAGAAAGGTTAGCCTTGACCAAGATAAGAAAGGATTGGGGAGGATTGGGGGGAGACCAAGTTGAGGTGAGAAACATCGGGAGGTGCTGTCGGAGGAGCCTGGGGGTATTCCTGGGGGATGGCCTCATCCTACCTAGTGCTCTGGTGTTAGTGTCTTTGGCAGCCCATCTGTGATCTCACAGCTCTTGTACCACCCTCACCAGAGTCCTACTGTCCTGCACCCTGAGTATCTGTATCTCCACTAGACTGGAGTCAAATCTGTCTACTTCACTGTTGTATACCTACCCCTGGCCAAGTGGCGGGCTCTGAGTAAATATTCTACTAAAGAAGTAAGAAAAAAGGAAAAAAGGGAAAGAGGGAGAGAAGGAATTGTTGAGAGTGGAGGATGGGTAGATCCCCAGCACGGGGACTTCTAAGCATATAGCCCTGTCCTGAAGGATAGGGACACAGTCTGGGGGATGTGATGTTAATGTAGGTCAGGGTTCCCAACATACCTTGACCTTTGATCCCAAACGGCGGCACAAACTCCCGGATCCTAGCCCACTTGCGAAAGGAGTCATCCAGGAACATGGGTGCTGGCTTGGAGAACCTGGAATACAAAGGCTGTTGAGGATCACGGAACGCAACAGGCTGGAGTCCTGGTTGGCTCTTCTGTGCGTCGGTCCTGGCTATGGACCTCCTGGAACCTCTGACATTCCAGCATACCCTCCCTACCCCACCCAGCCTGTTCACTGGGTGGCTGGCTGAGGAGTTTCACAGATCTTGTTCAGTGGAGCCTGAGACTGAGGGAGCAGGCCTGGTCAGTCTTTATGTGGCCAGCTGTAGGAATGGAGAGAGATTTGCTCAGCAAGGATCAACGCTCAGAGCTGGAAGCTCTCTGCAAGTTTATCCAGGCATCCATCAAATAGTTACTGCTGCCCACACTGTTCCTGCAATTTGGGAACACGGAGATGAGACACTGTCCAGTTGAGCAGAAAAATATCCAAAAATACAGCCAGTGCAGGGAGATAATTTTGGAGAGAATGCTGGGAAGTGGACCACCCAGGGTGAGGAAGGAGAGTTCATGGTGAGAGGGCAAGGCAGGTTACAAGCTACAGGAGACAGAAATTTGGTAGGGAAGAGATAGAAAAAGCAGAGTGCTAAGAGGCAGGGCTGAGAAGGGAGGTTTCAGAGCAGTGAGATGTGAGTGCCTTTGTTGGAGGAGGGAAGAAGAGAGGGAAAGCTAAGTTCCTGTGGGGGTGGGAGAGGGATTGAACGTTGAAGGGGAAGGTTTAATTTTGGCCTGGAGGAGAGATGGGAGGGAAAAGGGGAGAGAAGGAGGGTGAAGTGATGCTGAGTTGGGGAGAAGGAAAAAGGCGAGTTTCAGTCTTTCTGGGCAGGGCAGGGGGCACACTTGGGGAGGAAGGGATGCAAAGGGAAGTGAGGCACAGAGGGAAAGCTACAGGAGGATTTAAGCTCTTCAGAGATGCTCAAAGAACACAACTTCACATGGAACCTGGCACCCTGGCTTGGGGACCCTTTTCAGGGCACTTGGCACCTCAAAAGATGGCCAGTACTTCTGTGTGCTCAGAGTTCTGCAGGCGCCTGCTTAGGACCTCTCTGGCCAAGAATGAGTGTGTGGAGGCCTAGGCCTCAGTGACTCTGTCTCTGTACTTCCAACTCAACCCCCATCAGCCCTCTGAACAACTGGAGGTGGCAGGAGAGGCCCTCCAAGCCCAGAAGCTGGAACTGCATCCATTTCTCATTCCCATCACCACCAACACCATCATTACCACCATTCCCAGGAGGAATAATATCAGTAATCACTCGGAGGCCTAACATTATTAGAGATTTTGACGTGAACTTGAAAGAAGCAGAAAACCTTCAATCCTGCTCCCTCCCCCATCATTCTTGCTAGGAAGATGTCAACACTTGGGAGCATTGAAAGGCCATTCCTGCCTAACGGCCTCCCTTTGGACTTCTGGGTCCCAGCAACTGAGGCAGCACACTTACTCTCTACAAAAAAAAGTAATGCATATTTTGTGTGCCTAGTATATAAAATCTAAGTAAATTAATATATTTGATGTTTTATTAGAGGCACTGAGGATCCTGGCCATGGTCTATGTGTTATATCGAAGGAAACAAGGTCCCTGGCTAAACCTGCATCAAGAACCTCTCCTTCTCTGTCAGACTGAGCTTATAAAATTTTTGTGAAGTTTCTCAGAGTCAAGCTGGGACAGGATTTTATCTGGTTCCCAATATGTACTGGATGTCATATGCTAATAAAATCTCCTAAGATCTAGCCAAATAATCTCAACATATTTTTTCCTTTTTCTCTCCCTCCCCCCTTTTTTTCAGATGGTTAGCAGTTCATTATACTAATTTTTACTTTTAAAAACACCTTGTTTTTTTGTGTAGCCTGTAATATGTGTTGATTTTAGAAAAGATACAGATAAACACACACAAAGTAAAAATATCCATAATCATGCTTGAGCCCAGGAGTTCGAGGTTACAGTGAGCCAGGTTGGCACCACTGTACTCCAGCCAAGGTAGTAGAGTGTGACCATGTCTCAAAAAAAAAAAAAAAAAAAAAATCCATAATGCAACAGTACGGAAACAACCTTATGGTATATATCCAACTGATTTTCCTTTTCCCATATTATTTTGTAGACTGCTGTGTGTAGACTCCCTTTCTCCTAATATACAGAGACTGGGTCAAACAACAAAACCCGTAAACTGCTGATAATGCAACATGAATTGGCCAAAAAAGTGAAATGTAAAAAGATGGACAAATGAAAATATGACCAAAAAAGCAGGAGTTGCCATATTATTAATGGCCAAAAAAAGTTCTTGGGACAGATCATGGCAAAAAGTATTAAATGGGCCTGATAAGAGTTTCTTAAAAATCTTTGCCTCTAGTGTGTAACCTATTCATTTCTTGCTTTTATGATCTGTTTTCAAACACTTCCCATTTCGTCTTCTTATTTTATGGGGCCTTCATGTTTTGGATGCTCTTTCTGTAGCTTCTCTTTCTATTCCCTGAAAGATCGAGCCAGCTTTTCTCTAACATTTCTTTCTGCTAGTTGAGTGTACCTCTTTGCAAAGAGCCCTTTCTCTATATATATATATAAAGTATATATATATTTAAACTTTTTATTATAGGAAATTTCACCTATACAAAAGTAGAGAAAACAGTACAGTGAACCCCTCTCCTCAAAGATCATGACCCAAGATTCAACAATTTTCAATTATGGTTAATTTTGCTTCCTTTATACCCCATCCACTTTCTGTATTTAATATTTTAAAAAATCTCAGAAATTATGCCATTTCATCCATATTTCAGCCTTAATTTTTAAAAGATAAGGACACCTTAAAAACATAACCACACCCAAATGAGTCCTCTTAAAAACATTATCATGCCTAAAAAATTAACCATAATTTCTTTTTTTTTTTTTTTTTTTTTTGAGACAGCCTCACTTTGTTGCCTGGGCTAGAGTGAGTGCTGTGGCGTCAGCCTAGCTCACAGCAACCTCAAATTCCTGGGCTCAAGCGATCCTTCCGCCTCAGCCTCCCGAGTCGCTGGGACTACAGGCATGCGCCACCATGCCCGGCTAATTTTTTCTATATATTTTTTTTAGTTGTCCGATTAATTTCTTTCTATTTTTAGTAGAGACGGGGTCTCACTCTTACTCAGGCTGGTCTCTAACTCCTGAGCTCAAACACTCCACCCGCCTCAGCCTCCCAGAGAGCTAGGATTACAGGCGTGAGCCACCGCGCCCGGCCCATAATTTCTTAATAGCAACAAACATCTGATCAGTTTTCAGATCTCTCCTACTGTCTTATTAATGTTTGTTATTCTTATTGTTATTTATTCTAATAGTTGGTTTGTTTAGGTAAGAATGGAAGGATGGTCCACACATTGTATTTGGCTGACTGCTATGTTTCTTTTAAATCTATAGATTTCCTCTTTTTTTCCCTTATAATTTGTTGCTAAAGAAAATGGGCTATTTGTCCTGTAGAGTGCCCCACATTCCATTTTTCCTGATTACACTCAGATATTGTTCAGTATGTTCCTCTGTCTCCTGCACTCTGTAAACTGGTGGTCAGATCTGGTTTACTCTTTGGGCAAGAAGACTTAATAACAGTCTTCCCGGGTGCCCTCGGAAGTACATATGCATGGGCAGTTCCCTGTGATGTTAAGATTGAACACTGGGTTCAAGCACTCTGGGCTGGAACTTACAAAGTTCCCAGCAGCTCTGCACAGAATGCTTGCAGCAGACATTAAGGATCACTGCCTAGATCCATTCTTTCTTTAGGAGATGCTAGAATACTTCTATAAACTTTCTGTCATCAACTCTTTGATTATCCCCAGGCACTGGTCATACAGAAAAAATGAGATAAATGGTTGATTTTCTCCCTATATTTACCAATTTTCAGAATAATGAGCTGATTCCTTAGCATCCTCCAAAGGTGATTAATGAAGCTTTTCTTCCCTTTTAATCATTAGGAATTCATACATTTTAACATATTTGATACATGTTACTCTATTGTAATCATTGTTCTTTCTGATGCACAGATTATCCCATCTTTGGCCAGTGGAGCCCTTTCAACCTGGCTCCTGAATCCTTTGGACATACCCTAGTAGTCTTTGATAATGTCTTGGTTTTCTTATATGAAAAGATGTTCCAGGCTTATCTTGCACATTTCTTTCATTTTTTTTTTTTTAAGAGACGAGGTCTTACTCTGTCTCCTAGGATGGAGTGGAGGTGGTGCAATCATAGTTCACTGTAGCCTGGAATTCCTGGGCTCAAGTGATTCTCCTGCCTCAGCCTCCCAAGTAGCTGGGACTACGGGTGTGAGCCAACGAACTTGGCTCTATCTTGTACATTTCTTGGTCCCACCTGGTCATTTCCCCAAGGTGCCCTTCTTCCTTTTAACTGGAAATGGTATTCAGAGACCACCATCTGGGTGGCTAGGGATGCTCATGTTGCTATGGGTTAGTGATCATTTCCAGGCCTTTTCAGGTGGACAAAACTAGGGAGTTCTTTTTTTTTTGAGACAGAGTCTTGCTCTGTTGCCCCAGGTAGAGAGTGCAGTGGCATCATCATGGCTCACTGCAACCTCAAACCCTGGCCTCAAGCTATCCTCCTGCCTCAGCCTTCCAAGTTAGCTGGGACTACAGGTGCACACCATCACGCGTGGCTAATTTTTCTATTTTTAGTAGAGATGGGGTCTTGCTCTTATTCAGGCTGGTCTCAAACTCTTGAGTTCAAGCGATCCTCCCACCTTGGCCTCCCAGAGTGTTGGGATTACAGGTGTGAGCCACTGGGCTGGCGGGTAATAATTTTTTTAAAGAAAAAAACATATCATGTATTTATACTGGTATTCCCAATTCAAATTTAAGATTGGAAGATTTGAAATTATCTTTTTTTTCTTTAACAGCTTTATTGATATAGAATTCACATAGCATAAAATCCATCTGTTTACTTACCTACTTTGATTTTATATTTGTATCTCTTTCTCTTAAGTTGACATCTTATTTCTACTGACGTTAATGTAATTACTTATTAATATTTGCTTTATACTAACATATACATATAGAAAATACAT